AGCAATGGAGAGAGATAGAGAGGGGGCTAGGGAGTCAATGTTAGAAAGCTGGAGTGGGCTGTGACAATGAGAAATGGGAAAGCAAGGATGGGAGGGCAGGACACAGGGATGGAGAGCAGGAGTGGAGATGTGGGGCAGAGAGAGGGACGGGGAATGGGAAAGAAAGCAGGGTGCAGCGCAAGACACTGAGCAGAGAGGAGAGGGCACTTGTCCGAGTGGGGTTGAAGGGGCCAGGAACAGCTCGGGAGGGGGTGTAGGTTCCAGAGATCGGGAGGGGGTGTAGGGGCCGGAGGAGGGGGTTCCAGAGATCCGGAGGGGGTGTAGGGGCCGGAGGGGGGGTTACAGAGATCCGGAGGGGGTGTAGGGGCCGGAGGGGGTGACAGGTTGGGATTGAAGGAGGTAAGGAAGAGAGGAGAAGAGACTTCATACACTGTCCATTCAAATAGAGAATCTTTATTTTGGCTGAGGGAATGATTCATTAAGACAGCAATACTCCAGGTAAGAAAGAGAACATATTAAAAGGTAACTGTCCCGTCACAGTCCCTTCCTCCTCGATCAGAGTTCATCGTTCCCTCATGGAGGCTTACAAAGCGACCAGCTTCTCATTCAGTGCAATCTGAGCCTGGGTGAGGTTCGACAGGTACGTTACCATCAGTAGGTCCTAGAAGTCAGACACAGATAGAGAAAGAGCCTTGAACTCGAGCTCAAATCACAGCATTTCGAAAGAAGGCATCCTCTCCCCACCACTCAGTTAGACTCCAGTCTGTAACTCTCTCCTGGGTATCTGTATACAACCCACCCTGAACCCCTCGATTAGATTCCAGTCTGTAACTCCCTCCCGGGTATCTGTTATTCCGTATATGACCCACCCTGAACCCCTCGGTTAGATTCCAGTCTGTAACTCCCTCCCGGGTATCTGTTATTCTGTATATAACCCACCCTGCACAATCTGAAGACGTAATATCTGGGAAACTCACGTTGATGTTGCTGTTCAGCATGGCTTCAAAATCCTGGGCTGAAATCTTTGGAACTTTGTTGACCAAATCGATAAGAAATCTCCCGACAGTGTTGTCTGGTGTGATTTTGCCTGACTGCACAGGAAGAGTGAGGTACAGATTAATCAGCTACATACAGGCTGCTCCTACGACTCTGTTGAAATGCCACTGACAGGACGTGGCTGTCCCTGCCTCAGCACTTTGCGTTTTTCTCAACTTGATTTTGAACCGCAAGTCCAGCTAACATTGCTGTTCGGAACGGAGGTCCAGGGATTTTGCCCTTTTTCCTGGATGGGGGCAGCTCCAACAACACTCCAGAAGCTCGACACCATCCAGCACAAAGCAGCCCCCGCTTGATTGGCACCACATCCACAAACATCCCACTCCCTCCCCCACGGTACACACTGCTGCGACTGAGCGTCCATCTACAAGATGCACTGCAGAGATTCACCAAAGATCCTCAGACAGCACCTTCCAAACCCACGGCCGCTTCCATCCAGAAGGACAAGGGGCAGCAGATACACAGGACCTCCCATCCCCTGCAAGTTCCCCTCCGAGCCCCTCCCCATCCTGACTTGGAAATATATCGCCATTCCTTCACTGTCACCGGGTCAGAATCCTGGAATTCCCCGAGGGTATTATGGGTCAACCAGCTCCCACCTCATGGGGGCAATTAACGGCAGACAATAAGTGTTGATAGAATTGGTGACAGTCCCGACATCTGTTAGTGCCCCTTCAACTTCCTAACTTTGGCTGAGAGGGTTAGAGGAAGCTACAGAGGGCTGCGGGAGGGGTTAACAAAAATGTGGAGGGGAGGCCCTGGTGGTGGTATTGAGGTTAAAGCAATAGGAAGAGTGTGTCGGGTCGTTGAAGCGGAGGAGAGGGGGCACACTCACCAGGACCTCTTCAGCGTACTGGAGGACTGTCGTCAGCATATCCTGGATACGAGCTGCAGATGTGCCGACTTGCTGCAAATCACTCGACAAGGTGATGGTTCGATTCGGGCTGGTCCGTGTCCTCTGGATCACATCGACTAGGGTGACGGGGATACAGTGGAAAACAGGAGCACCATTAGATCCGCATGTGAAAAGGAAGCATATCATGCAGCTCATAAAGCCTGTGTGTGGATGTACAGTTCTCCTGCCTTCTCTCTGTAACCCTGCACGTTCTTCCTTTCCACATAACCATTCCAATCCCTCACAAAAGCCTCGATTGACTCTACCACCTTCTACCTACCTCCTGCAAGCTCATTCCCGCTCCTAACCCCTCGCTGTGAGAGAAAGCTCTCCTTTCCTGTCTCTATCACTTCTTTTCCCAGTCTCCTTCAGTCTGTGTCCCTCTCCTTCTTGATCCATCCCGCAGCGGGAACAGCCTCCCCCTCTGCGCTCTGTCCAAATCCTTCATAATGTTGAACACCTCGACCCAATCTCCTGTTCTCCCAGGGAAACAGTCCCAGCTTCTCTAATCCCGACTCCTCGCTGATGTTCCTCATCCCTGGTCAATCTTTCCTGCAGTCTCTCCAGCATCTGCACATCCTCCCTAGAGTGCAGAGCTCAGAATGGGACACAGCGCTCCAGGCTCAGGCCCAGCCTGTCTTTCATACAAGTTTAGTGTAACCGCCTTAGGCTTGTTCCCAGTGTCGCTGTTTATCGCGCCTCAGACATTGTGTGCTTCACTAACACCTCTCACTAGTTGCCCACCTTCAAAAGATGTGGTGATCAGTGTACATTTACATCTCTTACACTCCTTTCAGTATTTTACCCACCAGTTAAAACCCATAATTAGCTGTGTCATAATTCACACGCAAAAAAAAAATTAGCATGGCTTGCTGAACCTATAGATCTTGAAACTGCACCCTGCTGCCCTTGGCTCAGCAGCTGAGGACAGGAGCCTCAGAGTTCCCGTTCTATAGCGAGGGGTAAGAGTGTGGACACAGGAGGCTCGGGGTCTGACTCCTCACCCCAATTGGGCAACCCTCGTCGGTCTGCACTCACCTCCAATTCTCTCGGTGTCGTAATAAACATATTTCACGGTCAACGGAGTGAACATGACCCCCATAGTCTTCCCAGGAACGCCAAGGGGAGTACTGTGAGGGAGACAGAGAGAGGTGGATTGGACAAACATCAAACAGTCCCAATCAGTGACATGCTGAGACGCGGCGTGGCCCAGGAATCAGGACCGGGGGCCTGGGGTGCCAGCCTCCATACCAACGTGGCTCCTACCTGACGTAGGCCTTGATACTCATTCGGCCATCTTGCAGCATTGTATCCACAGTGACGTGAACAGGATTCTGCGCCTCTCGGCTGTAATATTCGTGAATGAGCACCGAGTGCTCTGTGATATCGTGGCCAGTGGCAAACCTGGGATTCAGAAAGACGGGTAAAAACATCCTCGTTACCTGCAGCATCTCAATAAACCGTCCGCGTACTTAGCGCAATGCCTCCATCGGGACTGGGGACTGGAGTGGGCCGTCCCAGCCCAGCCTTCCCTTTCATAAGATCATAAAAAGGATCTGATTGTCGTTCTCAACTCCAAAATCCCGCAATAACATTCGACTCCTTGTCAGTCAGAGACAGACTGACCTCTGCCTCGAGCTACACTCTTAGGAGGAGAGCACAAACCTGAGGGAAAAATAGCGCTGCTTCAGCCAAGTCCCCTGATCTATTTTTATTTAAAAAAGCTGTGTTCTTGTCTCTCCCACAACACCTGAAGGAGGACTGAGGCTCCCAAAGCTTGCATTTTCAGATGAACCTGTAACCTGGTGGCGTGTGATTTCTGACCTTGTCTCCCAGAAGGGTCTCCACTCCACCAGGATCTGCTGTTTCAACAAGATCGAGTCTCTTCTGGCTCAACCTTACTTCAAACAATATCCCCAAGATAGGGTCTTGAGAGTTGCTACCCATTCATCTCCTTATTGAATAAGTGGAACCAAAATGACTTACAGTACTCCAGACGTAGGCCCATCAACGCAGCATTCAACTGAGGCTGAACATCTCGTGCGTTCCATTCCCTCTGAGCCCTCTCCCTCTCTGTCCACCCCTTCCCTCACTTCACTTACCAGCCCACTATCACCTCGTTGGGAGCGACTTTCTTGTGAAGCTCATACATGTTCTTGGCAAATTCCATGTCGACAGCCACCTGCAACGATAGAGAATGGTGCCAGTGTGACTTTAGTGGCGGAGGGGTGGGGAATGAGTGTTACAAGGAGGAATTCACATTATGTCAGAAATTCATCACGGTCTGACACAGAGTTAGCGTTGCTTCGTTCAAAATCCTTCCCCGATTCACATAGTTGTTCCCCACCCCTCCCCGATTCAAATATCTTCGATCCCACCTCCAAATCAAATACTACACTTACACCTCCACCAAATACCGCGCCTCCCCTTTCATTGAGTCAGCACCCCCTCCTACCACAATTCAAATCCCACACTCAGAGATTGCACACAACAGCAGGTCACTTGTTCGTTAACCTGAGCTTTCGGATTTAATCCTACGTTCCTTCACCCCATCCATCTGCTCTTCCCCCTCCACTGTTTCTCCGATGCCCTGCCTTTTGGAAAGTTCCTGTTGGATCAGGTTCCCCTGTGCCTTCTCGGGCAGGGTGTCCCGGATCACAGCCGCTTACGGCGTTGAGATATTTCTCACTTCCTATCTTCACCCCCTCTCAGCCCGTTTGTCTCTCGCAGACACTTTCTCCTCCTCGTCCCCTTCCCGATCTCCTCTATTCAACCTGCCCAGGGATCACACCCTGTTCGTCGCCTGGACATCCTACAGTAGTCTGATTGAGGCAAACCAGTCTCATGTCATGTTTCAGCGTAACTTCATTGTCTATTTATTTATTTTGATATAAAGGAAGATGAACAAATCAATTCCAGCTCTGGTACCTCATCCTCTGACTCGTTGTGGGGAACGGAGAAGCAATTGGTGATCTCGACAGTCTGTTTATCCACAGTACCTGGGCGGGTGGAGCAGAGAGAAAAGGAGAAACAGGGTTAGTCACTGACACCGGTGGGGAGCTGAGGAAACAGGCAACAGA